GCGGTGTTTTGTCGTTGTCAATTTTGAGGCCCCGGGGTGTGAGCCACCGAGCCCCGGTGTTAGGCGCCCCTTGTTATGTAGCGCTGTTTGTGGGAAAAGTTCTGGTAGGACTGATGCTGGTAGCGGTGTGTTTTGCTGCGCTTGTGCTGGTGGGGGTGCGATGTGTTTGATCTTTGTGGAGAGTGGTGTTGGAGTGGGTGGGTATGATGGCTGGAAACAGGGTTGGCTGTTGTGAATGTGGTTGAAGGGAGGTTGCCGGTAGCAGCGCTGGTAGGACTGACGCTGATAGCAGTGTTGTTTGAGGAAGGTAGGCGCGGCTTGTTTTGGTAGGCGCTGATCGTAGCCAGTGCTGGTAGCTGTGTTGCTTGCGGAAATTGGTAGCGGTCCCAAATGATCTGCCGCTACCCCCTGCTGCAAAACGAAAACACTAAAAGCAAGAACAATCCAAAAGGATCCCTGTGATTCCAAGGGTTACACACACACACACACGCCTCCCCGAAGGGAGGCATGTGTGACCTCCATCCTGCCCGGAAAGGAGGTGAGCACATGCGCACGCAAAAGGGACAGAAGAAAATGAAAAGGACGAGACAGACAAAGGTGTGTGCGGTTGCCGATGAAAAGGAACCAAGTGAAGAGGGACAACCGATGAGCCAAACCTCATTGTAACGAACCTGGGCCACCAAAACCTCGCTGCAAGTAGAGTACGCGCGCGTGTATGTGTACAAACTAAGGTCCGGACGATAGTGCGCGCAAGAGAAAGAAAGGATGAGGATGAAGAGACATGAAGACAGAAGGACATGAAAGAAAAGAAGGGGAAAAAACGTCTGTGGGGGCGGATGAAAGGGGAACCAAGTGAAAGGGGACAAACCGATGACAGTCCAAACCTCATTGAGAAACCTGTTGCCGAAGCCTAGTTTGCTTGTAAATACGCCACGCGCGAGGAAAGAGGAGGGAAGGGGAGGAGGAAAAGAGAAGGAGGGAGAGAAGGAAGCAAAGGTGTTCCCAGCTACAGCACAAGCGTCCAAGCACACACCAAAAAGGTAGGGCTCCCAGCTATGACGAAAGCATCCAGGGACGCCCAAGGAAGAGGGTGAAGAGAGGAAAAAGAGAAGGAAAGAAAGAGAGAGGGAGAGAAAGGGAGAGGAGAGAAAGGAAGGTGTTCCCAGCTACGAACAATCGTCCAGGGACACACCAAAGAAAGAAAGGGGAGATCCTGAGTATTACGTTCAGGAAAACCCCAGAAAGCAAAGAGAGAAAGGGGGAGGGAAGGGGGAGAAGGGGGGCTAAGTTCTCCACAGGTTCCAATGAACCTTGAACAAACTTCGGTCGCTGCGACCACGTACGGCTTGCCCGAGGGCTGCCACCTCTGACCGCTGTGGTCACGTAAAGGCATGAGCCAACTTGGAATTCCAAAATGAGACAAAAATCATCGTACGTACGGCCCAGGCCACCTTCGCCCGCTGTGGGCACTTACGTTTCCAAAGCAAGGGAAACAGCGACAAACCCCCGTTCAACAGGTCCACGGGAGGCACTCTGCGGGCTCATCCCGGACTCTCACTGGGAGAGACACACTTATGGATATGCGTACTGACTTGACAGCGGTGCCACACGCCGGCCTAGGTTAAAAAAACCTGAGTAAAACGAGGTGCAAAAGTTGGGGGTCATCGCTCTTAGGTTAGAGGCCATCGAAGACAGGTTGAGAGGCCATCGCTAGTAGGTTGGAAGGAAATCGAAAGAATCCCTATGACTACAAGGGTTACACACTTATGGAAATGCGTACTGACTATGAGGTTCTTGGCTTAGCCTCATGCCATTCAGAAAGGAAGGAAATCGCAGGTACGTCGGAGTGGCCAACTCCGATATCACCAGATCAAATGGGCATCTTCGTTGGTAGCGGTCCCAAATGATCTGCCGCTACCCCCTGCTGCAAAACGAAAACACTAAAAGCAAGAACAGTCCAAAAGGATCCCTGTGATTCCAAGGGTTACACACACAGAAGGACAGAGACTCATACACACACAGACATACAGAGACCCACACACTGCCTCAACTCACTCGACTTAACACTTCACACTGAACACTTAACAGATAACTCACACTCTGACTTCCTACGTGATGCAAAATGCTTTCGGGCCACTCGTCGTCTAGTTTATGTGTATACTGTGAGGACACGCTTGATGCATGGGCCTTCGCTTGGGCTTTCAGCCAGACTCTTGGAGTTCCCACAGTCCAGTTGACATGAAAGGCAAGCTAGTTGTTACCCAATATATACATATATATATATATTATATATATATACTTTAATCACTTCTCACCAGCCTAAGTTCCTATCGGTGCAGGGACATTGTTGCCCCCGTGGCCTTTAAAGAGTTCCGAAAGCATGATCGAAAGCGAAATAAAGGGGCCTATTCTTTCATCGAGCACATATGCGAGATGTTCTCAGCTGGGCACCCAGACCATACTCAGGGTTCGAGACCAGCCTTTACTGTCTTAGGACCTGATGCCTCATGCTGAAGAGAATTTGTTTTTGGACGTTTCGGGCATTCCATCTCAGACATCGAAACCAGTTTCATTTGAAGGCGGTTGCCAATCGAAAACATTGACTTGAATCAACGGCGTGTGCATTGTCCATGACAAAAATGCTAAGCAAAGACGACCCTGGCAGCCTCAGCCTCCACACCACTGAATCTTCACCTCGCACGTCATCTTCACTGAAGGCGTGCAGTTGTTTCAACGGGGCGCCCTTCAGGAGCCAAAACAGCTAAAGAAAAAACCCACATGTAGCAGAGAATATTTGCTTGTCGGCTATGACTCATTGGAATTCTCAGCAACCAAACCGTCCAACTTCGGAACTTCAATGTTGGAAAGCTATGGGTGTTCATCCGACCGGGGCAGTAGAAGCTCCCTTCAAGAACCCTTTGCAGCATGGAAACGGTTCCGGTTCCGACCTTTCTTTTGCCTGCTTTTGTGGAACATGCATAGAACTTTGCGAGATCTTCTACCTACTTATATATAATTGACTTCATTGAGATCCCTGACCCAAGCCCTTGTGCAACTCTGCTCTAAATTTCCTCCAGACACACCCAGCCTCGAAGCCGGCCTGTTCCAAATGGGTCACCACCTCTGTTACAAGTCACCGGTGAAGAGTTTCTCAAAGGCACGTCAAAGAAAAAACAAGAGGAAACCAGGAGGTGTTTGGGTCTCTTCAATATGGCCCCTGCTAAAGGAGGTGTTACTAAAGGAGCCCAAACACCTTCTTTTCGTCGTGTTGTTTTTAGTGGTGGATCTGTTCCTGCACCCAAAGTTGGTTCGGACATCAGATCTCCAAAAGAGATGAGATCTGAGCGGGTTATGATCGAAAACCCACGTCAGGTACAATCCCTGGAAGGCCCTTGAAATTGAACCGGCAAATTAAACTCCTTCACCAGGTCTTGTCAATCAGCTCTGTCCTTATCAAAGTATGACTCATAATAGTGTGTGTGATACTGGTGGTGAAGTAGGTCCGTTGGAACAATAGAAAAGATTAAGATGTGTCCTTCCTGGTCTCGCTCCTTTGGAAATACCCTGAGAGGGAGGGAGGGGGGGAGGGAGGGAGGGAGGGAGAGGGAGAGGAAGGAAGGAAGGAATGAAGGAAGGCAGGCAGGCAGGAAGGCAGGAAGGAAGGAAGGAAGGCAGGCAGGGAGGGAGGGAGCGAGCGAGCGAGCGAGAGAAAGAGAGAGAGGGAGAGAGAGGGAGAGAGTAATAAATAACAAATAAATAAACAAATAGATTTAAAAAAAACTGTTGTTTCAAAACAGCCCCTACCAAGGACAGTCCAAAGCAAAGGGTTGATCTTCTTGAGTCTGGCCATCCCTGTGATTGCAGCATAGCGCGCTGCTCAAACTGGGGGGCTCGCGCCCAGCCCATTGGGCATGAGGCATCAGCTCCAGGGAAAACATGCTCGTCCATGAAAAGGCCCCAGACCTTGGCGTGATCAGAGCCGGGAAGATTGTGCTGCACACAACCAATATACAACCCTCATCCCTTCCCAAGCAACATCCACAACTGCGGGAACCGTAGAAACCCTGCTTCTGGTTGTCAACAGCATGACAACCTCCCAGCACCAGTCAAACAACTGTGACTTTGCACAAAACTTGCTGATGGCTGGTGGGTGTCCATGGTTGGACAGCTGCGCAACACTAGTCTGATTACACGTTCACAATCTGTTCATTCCATATACTCTGTAGTTAAAGGCAAAACATTAGTTGTTTAGAGGCTTAAAGCGCCGTTGTCATGTTGGGGGCATGCACTCACTTTGGTGATGGGCATCCTCTGTTCCTGCCCATATCCACTTGGAGATGAGGCATCGTTGAAAATGTCGGTCAAGGATGATGGTGATTTGTGGGAACCTTGGACCAATTTCTGAATAATAGTGACAAAACACTTGATCCCAGAATGTTGTTGCCACATGTTGAAGCGTAGGTAGAAAAGGGTTTTCACCCACACCTCAAAGGAGCTAAAAAAACCAACACCCACACTGAGGAATCCCACCAGGTCCTCGTAGTGGTTGTAGCCTGTACTCAAAGGCAGCAATGCCGGAAACCCAAACTCATGAGGTGTTGCCATTGAAAGAGGGCTCCGCCTAGTAGCGCTACAATTTCTACAACCTAAATATTAAACTGAGGATAAAGCGGTATACCTTCCAAGATTCATCATCTGGTTCCTCAAGCGGATAAAGTCGTTGTACTTTTCGGGCGTATGTTCAAAAAAGGGTTTCCACCTTCGAAGACCCAAATCCTCCAGCCTCATGTGACACATGTATACATGGACATTCTCTATAGTCTTTTCACGTGCCCGCTCGTCCACCTGGCTCAAACACTGATGGCCACAAACTGGCACCACGATCCAACACAATACCTCTTACAAAAGAAGAGCTCCACATGAAGAAGCTTACTTAGAGTCCTCTTTGTCATGGAATGGATCCATCCGAGGATGTTGGAGGTAAATCCCACAACAGGACAGGCCTGTTGCAAACATAAACCTAACGAGTGCACTGATCTGTGCTGACGCTAGTGAAACCGGTGAAGCCTGAAACCATTGATCATTTTGCAAAATGACGCACCCCCAACCCCAGGACGGCACACAAACACCCCACACCTGTGGCGTAACCGCGAGGAAGGCCTGCTACCTTCGACAAAGGTATGCAAAAGGAAAAAAGGAACTCTGTTATGGGTCCTGTTCTTGGTCCGTTCCAGATGGATGGATAGATAGATAGATAGATATATAGATAGATACATACCTGAGAAGTGACGGGACGAAAGCCAGCGCGCTGCTAGGTCAGTATGCGGTCTGCCCATGTTCTCTCTACGAGGTGGTGAAGTGGGGGAAGGGCGGCATGTGCAGCGTGACACGCATGGGCGGGGAGCCACGCAAGAAAATGCAAAAAGGTGATAGGCAAAAACAAATCAGGGTGAATGAGTCAGCCTAAAGTGATCTTTCGCGATGCATATTCTATATATATAATATAGAACACGTTTGCAAGGAACCATGGGTGGTGAAGAAATTTCGACCACTTTGATTCTTAAGCGAGCTGTAGGGTCGACCATTGACAGAGGCAGGGTTCAGGAACCCGCTGCGATTCAAAATGCTGCATCCAAAGAAACGACAAACGATACATGAGATACATGAGACATTCAAAGACTCCTGTCATGAATGGCTAAGGTGAAAGAGGCACACTCCAGGCAGATCGAGGTACAACTGGAAGGATTTTCAGACCTTGGTCTTCCTATGGACGACCGGTTGCAAAATGAAGTACGTCGCTGCAACGGGGCGCGCGATGTAAGCGGATGTCCTTTTGGAGGCTTGAGGTACACACGTGAAGCCAAGCAGGGGTTAAGTAGAGCGATAAAGGGAAACACATGGTTCCCTCAGGCTCTGGGTTCACTACCACACACACTTGGGATGAATGATCCGTGGAGCTAAGTTTCAGTGTTTCGTGGTGAGCATCAGCACTTTAGGTTGCTGCATTAGCCGAGTGCACTGATCCCTTAGTGCGAAAACAACGTATGAGACAGCGTTGAGCAATACTTAGTCATCAACGCAAAAGGTATTTTAAAAAAAACGTCCCTTCTGGATGTCACGACCATTCTATCACTGTCTTCGTTGGGCAGTGAGTGATAGTGGTCCACTGCCCCCCTGCATTGGTGCTGCACACTCTGCGGTAAATATACTTATTGTAGTGGTGGAAAAGATCGTGTCACTAGGTACGGGAGGTGACACACACACATGCCCACGTACACTCTGACACTCTGACAATTGTATTCAGTTAACTCAGTTACCACGATGGGAAGGATGGCGAAGAACCGCAAGGTGAAAGGGTCAGCGCACTTTTATTGTTGAACAATCTGTTGTCATGTCTGCGGTGGCGAACGTCGACGCGGCTCAGCTGCAGTGCAAAAGGTGGTAGAAAAGGTTTGAGGGACGTAGCATGAAGAACCATGAACCAAAACGTGGAAGAGTAGGGTAACAGCTTG